GTTCACGATCTTTAACTTTCCGTTAAATTCAATGAATTCTTCTTCGTCTTCATCGCATTTCAAGCGTATTGCTTATCGTATATTAGCTTATTGCGTGCTCTCAACTAACTGTTCTAGATGCACTTCCACAGTTATCAATTGAGAGCTTTCGATGCCTGTACCATTTTTGCATTAGTATAATTGGGTGGCAAGTACAATCATACAATCTATGCCCACGCAAGTCGGGAAATTTTCCAACTCGAAAAATTCCTAGACCAGACCGGGAATCGAACACAGCCACCTCCAGCATGGTCTTGCTTTGCAGTTGCACCTTTACCGACTGAGCAATGGGGAAGCTCCTTGTTTTCATGAGCTCCGCAAAAATTGGCACCAACGCCCAATGCGATGGCAAATTTGTTTTGCTTTGTTCATCTCTATTTGCGGAATGGGCCTATTTGCTAAGTGTAGGTGTCAGAGTCTGGCACATCCGGTACTTTTTGTAACGGGAAGCCGGAAAACCCACCGACCGACAGCGCTTGACAGCGGCTGCTGGACACGAGCGAGAAAAGTCGCTTGCAATTTTCGCGCGGCTCTTTGTGTAGAGTTGTGCGGTATAAAAGGTGGGCGAGATGACTTCACTATTTTTTTATTTTTATGAATGAAAGGTAACTGAAACATTCACACACAAACACACGCACGCGCGGATCGAAATTTGTTGTGAATGAAATTTTCCACTGCGCAGGAGGGAACTTTTTTTTTCTTTGGCTCACATTTGCGCACAGGCTTGTTGGCTGTAAATAGGCGTCTATTTAGGTTTGCATCAAGCACGTAGTAGGCGCGTGTTTGATGAATTTTGGTACAAAAATAAAAATGCGATCGGTTTCGCTTTTACCTGCACTTCACTTCGGCGTAGGACGAAATTCGTACCCCAAAAACTATCCAGGGTGTAAAATCGGGTGTTTGTATATTGACAAACAAATTATGTTGGGCTGTCAATGACTCGCGACTTAAAGGAAGGTCCAGGTGTTTTTTTATTATGCTGAGAGATTTTTTTTTATGGAAGTCTCCGAAGTTCCGTGAGTTTTCCAAACGGTACTCTGAAAGCTTTTGAATCTCCAGTAACCTCTTAAAACTCCAGAGAACTTCAAAATCTGCCGAAACTTCGGAAAATTCATATGCTTTCAATATTTTTAGAATTTGAAAAATTAACGGAACTTCGGAGACTTCCAATGTTCCAGAAAAGATCTTTCACCTGGAGCTTGCTTTAAGTCTCAAAACTATCCCAGAACTAGTGAGCATTTCCAGGCCAGATAGCAAATAAAATTTTAATTTCAGACTCGATCTTCTCCGATTTACTTGAAGCTTTGCAATGGTCAATAATTCACAATTTGGTTAAAATTGCGATCTCGAAAAAAAGACTTCTCAACAAATTGCGCGCCACTTTTCAAAAGGTCTTAAGTAACAAATGTAAACAAATCGAGTGAAGCGATACAAACTATTGCTCTTCTATCATTGTATGTGATACAAAAACACACATCCAAATTTGGAGGAAATGGCAGAGTTTGATTCACGGCGTACGTGGTACCTTCCGCTTGGCGTGGTACAGAATCCAAACAAACCTGGAAAAGTGCGCGTTATTTGGGATGCGGCAGTTTGACTCGATGCATGCTACTCAAAAGGCCTGATCTGCTGACTCCGCAGCTATATGTTATCTTTATGTTTCGGGAACGCGAGATAGCGTTTTCCGGAGACTTCCAGGAAATGTTCCTACAAGTCGGAATCAGGAAGAAGGATCGAAGTGCGCTGTTATTCGTCTTCCGTAACTCGCCGAGTGAACCGATGGTGACCATGGCTTCCGACGTCGCCATTTTTGGTGCAACTTGTTCTTCTGCGCAGTCACAGTACGTGAAGAACTTCAACGCGACGGAGAATGAACGAGACTACCCAGGAGCAGCGGCAGCGATCAAGCGATAGTCGACACGGAAGCAGAGGCCGTCGAACCAGCGCTGGAAGAGGCGACAGTCCACCGGAAAGCAGGATTCCATATACGCAACCGGGAGTCGAATCGATCTTCGGTCCTGGAAGCCATCGGTTAATTGAGTCCAGCTACGGTGAAAACTCTTTCGATGAACAGCCAGAGCGGTTTCGACCGGGTGCTAGGAATATCGTGGCTGCCGAGTGAAGTTTTATTCTGCTCCACGATCACCCTACAAGAGGACATGGAGAGTAAGACCGCACCAACTCAAAAAGGGCGATGCTGAGCTTCGTGATGAAGATCTACGATCTTTTGGGACTTGTTGGCTCACAAGTAGTCCAAGGGAAGATTCTGCTGCAAGACGTCTGGAGAGCGAAGGTAGATTGGGACGAACAGATGTCTGAGGACCTATTTGCGCGATTGAAACTGTGGCTGCAGGGTCTGAAGGAGCTCAAAAATGTCCGAATTCCTCGTAGTTACTTCTCGGGGTACGATCCAGCCTGCTACGACGACCTGGAGCTCTACATATTCGTGGACGGGAGTGAGCAAGCGTATTCATCTGCAGCCTACTTCCGCGTACGAGATCGTGGACAGATACGCTGTACGCTTGTTGCGTCCAACACCATGGTAGCTCCACTACAGCTGACATCCGTGCCTTGACTGGAGTTGCAGGCGGCCGTGATCGGTGCCCGTCTTCGCAAAACCATTGTGGATGGTCACTCGGTACAGATCAAACGAACCTTCTTTTGGAGCGACTCAACCACCGTAGTTTCGTGGATCAAGTCGGATAGCCGGCGATATCGACCGTACGTGGCGTTCAGAGTCAACGAGATCCTGAGCCTGTCGGAGATCGAGGAGTGACGTTGGTTGGGAACCAAAATCAACGTTGCTGATGAAGCCACAACGAGGGGCAAAGACCCGAACTGCAAGCCTGATAGCCGATGGATGCGTGGACCTGCATTTCTGTAGAAGCTGCGACCGGCATACGTTTACAATCACTTTTTGTCGGCTCCGATCATCGATGTGGCACAGTTTTCCAAATTCGAGCGCCTATTGCGAAGCGTGTCGTATGCTCACCGGTTCAGTGAGAAGCTTCTCAGACGAATCAGAGACGAAACTACGGATATCAGCAGCGAAGATTTGCAGAATGCGGAGAGGAGCCTTTGGCGGCTCGCGCAGTCTGATGGCTATCCAGATGAGGTGGCTACGATGAACCGGAACGACAGGCGAGCCCTTAGCCAGAGCAGTCCACTACCGAATTTTCCACCAATGCTGGACGAACACGGAATTGCGGCCGCAAATTGCGTAGAACGAGATACCAAGTTCCCGATAATACTGCCAAAGAAACACCCGGCAACTAACCTGTTGCTGGACTGGTGCCATCGGAAAGTCCGGCACGCCAACAATGAAACGGTCGTGAATGAAGTTCGTCGGAAGTTTAACATTACTCATACACCTGAGAACAGAGATCCGATGCGTGGTGAGACACTGTCCAAGGTGCCGGGTATACAAAGCTACTCCGGCAATTCCGAAGATGAGCCAGCTGCCAGAATTTCGTATAACACCTTTCATTCGACCATTCACATTTGTAGGCATAGACTACTGCGAGCCTTATCTAGTGAAAGTCGGTCGTAGTTCCGTGAAGCGCTGGGTAGCGATCTTTACGTGCCTAACAGAGGTAGGGCACACCCTCTCTATCGACTCGTGCAAGAAAGCAGTTCGACGATTTGTCGCACGCAGAGGGTGCACCGCGAGAAGTGTACAGTGACAACGGCACGAATTTCATAGGCGCTTGAGGACGAATCGCGAGATAACAACCGTTGCTTGGGTTGCACATTCACGGACACAAACACCGAATGGAAATTCAATCCACCGGCAGCTCCACATATGGGGCGATGTTGGGAACGGATGGTTCGATCCGTGAAGGCGGCACTCGGTACACTACCCTCATCACGAAAGCTGGACGACACATGGTTAATTCGCGGCCGTTGACGTTTCTACCACTAGACAGCGAGGAGCAGGAATCGTTAACTCTGAAGAGTAGCTGGGAGCTGATTCAGAACAGGTTGGACTCGTTCTGGAGACGTTGGATCGTTGAATATCTTCCAGTGATATCTCGACGATCGAAGTGGTTCAGTGACGTTGCACCAATCAGAGAATAGCGGACATGACGAAGCGGAAATAGGCGGTCGTGGTGATGCGGATAGCGGCGGACGCAGTCACGCAGCTAGTCGCGTAAATGGTGCCGTCGAACCAGTGTTCTTACGACACGAAGGGGAGGATGTTGCGACAAAGTTGGGCAACAATTTTTTTAGAGTGTATATTTTTTTTCAAATAGTATCATCAATTATCTGCAATATTGCCCAAGACACCAAACCGATCGAGCAAACAGTTTTCGAGTAAAAATTTTCTGAAGATAAGCTTGATATTTTTCTATATGCCCTTTTCAAAAATAAGGCTGGATACAAAATGGCGATATGAAGATTCAGAATGGCACTGTCGGCTATAAGGAACGTTTCTACAAATTTTCAAATAAATCTTAAAATACAAAAATAAGCCGATTTGCGAATTCGCAGGGAATTGCTCATTGGTCTATTTGAAAAGTGACGCGAGAAATCATAACTCGAAACCAAGGGGGAGGACGGCTTTGAAGCCTCTGAGTAACTAACTACCTTAAACTCGAATTATTGTCAAGAAATAAATAAGACCTTTTTCAAAAATCCACTAGCAATGAGAGAAAGATTTGCTCACAGAGCAAGAGAGTTTCTCAGAGTAACTCTAGATTGCTCTAATTTTTTCACTGTCCCCACCTCTATAAGTGCCAATAGACAGAGATTCGGAAAAAAATTTCTGGAAAAACCTGGAACAACAAGAGGCAAATTCACCCATCGCTGAGTTCCTGTACTTTTTGCGATGAGTAAAGTGAACTCAAATTTGGCTTACCGCGCCACAGTCACGAGTTCAAATCTCATCCCCGGATAAGTTACAAATGACCGAAGGCAGCGTTAAACCGACTATGAAAATCAGATGAAAAATTTCTGCTTACCTCCAAAATCTGTTGGTTGATGTCGGTCGGTCCAGCCGTTTGTTGTGATGTGGAGGGCGTGTCCAGCGCAATACCGGTATTGGGTACAACCAGCACCCGCTCGCGTCCCATTGTGGAGTCGCGTGCCATTTCTGAAAATTGAGAATGGAAAAAAGATTGTTAATTGAGTTCAAACTGTGTAGCGTGTTTAATGTTGTTAAACGTCAAAACTGACTGTGACTGTCAGTGTGATAGTGAATTTCCACTTAAATTTGACAGTTCGAAAATAAATTCAAATGTTATAAAATTCCAGTTGTTGACCGGCGATTTTCGAGAAGGTGTTTTTCAGTGAGTCACCCTATTTTTACACTATCCAAAATCTTTATTCATAATTAATGTCCACATACACATGTAGATGGCGTGTCACCGAATCCTTAAAAAAAACATTCAAATTTCCCAACCATATGACCGCGAGAACACCTCCCATCTGTTTTCGTTCCCACCGCGCCACCACCGACCAAAATAATCACTGGTGCCGCGCACCAAGGTTCACTAACCTTCCTGTTTTCCACCGCTCCCGCGAAGCAATCGAAACGACTAAAACTAAACAATTCAAACTTTTAAGGAGACACTTGTCTCGTTTGCACGCAGTAAGCCACGCATTTACGACGCCCATGACGACAAACAAGTGCACACCAATTTCCATTTCCCCCTTTTTTCCTCGCTTTTAATACTAACAACTGACATTGCACGCTGCCACTTTGGGTTTACTCGCCGCGGAATTTTCCCATGGGGCTAAATTTAGAAGGGTCCCGCTGTAGTTTGACGGACGGGTATGTATGTAGTAGGCGCATTCCAGAGGCAGTGTTGTCGTTGTTGTTGTTGTTGTTACTGGCTGAGGAGACGAAACCGGGGAATGGAATTTTTACGATTCGAATCAAACCAAGTATTGTTGTGAACGTTGTTTTCCATTAGAGTGTCATTTATTGGATGTTTACCAGGATGTTTTAGGCAAGTGTCTTAATTAGTTCCATTATCTTAACAGAATTAACAGATTTTAGGGAGGGTTGTTGACAAACAATACCAACCTAAAGTGTCAAATTTCAAACGAATGAAAATGAGGTTAAAACAGTTCGACGTGACGTCATCTATTTATTATTACAAAAATGCTATCCTGCCCTAGAAAGGGGAAACGTGACACGAATGACGACAGGAAATGGATGCGACCTATTTTTAACCAATCCCTCTATTTACAGCAGGAAAATCCGGAAACGGGTTCAGTCATGCGTCACTCGGATTATGTTTTTTGCAAGGCTCTGCGTTTGTGTACGTTGTGAAGCAGCAGAAAAACGGAAGCCTAGTGTGTATTTAGTTGAAATCCTACAAGTTTCCTTGTAACCCTTCGCCTATCCCTATCGGTACTGCAAAACGGGGTGAACTGAGACGGAATTTTTTCCTGTTCTAATAAGAGTCCTAGGGGAAATGGATGTAATGTCGGCCTAAATGGCCCTAATTTGGGCCCATACATAAATTCAGTAATCGACTAAATTTTCAATGGCGACCAAAAATATTCATTAGTACCATCTCAATGACCAAATTTAATTGTAAAATTGTCCTCGATTTTTCTCATATTCGAGCCGAGGAAAATTGTACTCACAAAAGTCGTGGAGAAGCCAAAGAGAAATTGAGAAATGTTCAGAGGAACATCAGACAAGTTCAAGTTACTTCATTAAACTCTGAGAAACTGGAAACGTAAAATAAGTTTAGGAAACCTCAGAAGAGTTCAGGAGTCCTGAGAGCAGCTCAGAAATCTTCAAAGAAGTTTAAGAGACATCACAAATGATTTTAGAACTTCAGATAAGTTCAGGGAGTGAGTCTATTCTCAGAATCTTTCAGAAACTATCCAATCTTATCAACTTCTTCATGCCCAAAGCTTCCTGATCCTCGCTGAAGTATTTAGAAATTCACAAAAAATCAGTTAGCTTAATAGATCTTTTGAACGTCAAGGGAATTTATGAAAGAAACGGGCCACCTTAAAGAAGATTAACTGCATTTCCGAGATATTCAGAAAAACCTCACAAGAGCCCGGGGAACCTCAAAGAAGTTAATGGAAACATTCAGAGAAGTTCAAAAATCTTCAGCCAATGTTATCAAATTTCAAAGCAGCGCATAAAATCTAGGTAACCTTAGGAAGAATCAACGAATTTTAAACATATTCAGGGAACCTCAAATTGAAAATGTACACGGGAAAAAATCCGATTCCATTTTCATGAATAAAAAATCATGAAATGAAAAAACTTGCCATCCCATGAAATCGTAACAATGATTCATGATATCGTCATGGAAATTCATGATTTCATAATGCAGTGGAATCAAGACCGCTACAAGCGTTACACGTACTTGGCAAACCGTCTTCATAAACCGCACTACATAGGTATCTCTTATACGCCTTTTGTCTTCCAACTTATACAAGTACTGATAGTCTAGTGGTGAAAGTATGGGTTTAGTGATCTCAAGGTTCTTGGTTCGAATCCAGTCTGATGCTTTATTTTATTCTTTTTGCATTTTTTGGTTAAAAGTTAAACCCATGAATTTAGCTCATGATTTCAACTCGGATGATTCATGATTTTGGGAATATTTGCTGCGTTACGCAAAAGTTGCTCATGATATCATGAATATTATTCATGGTGTATTTTCATAACATGAAAATACGCTGTGTTCATGAAATCATGAGTCATTTTTCTCATTTCGGAGATCGGATTTTTTCCCGTGTAGGGTACTTCAGAATAGACCATGGATTCTCCAAGAAGCTTTCGATACCTTTGAGAATTTTAGGGCACCTAAGAGGAAGTCAAGTGCCATGAGAGATGTTTATGGAGCTCCACAGTATTTCAGGGGACACTTCTTGAAAATCTGGGTGAAGTTCTGAAAATCTCTCAGAGTTAGGATAAGTTATGCGAATTTCAGAAATTTCGTTAATTTTCAGAAAAAGAAAGAATCAAGGAAAAATCCAAGAAATGGTCTAATGCAACTCAAGGAATTTAGAAAAGTTCGGAGGGAATCTTCAGAAAACAAAAAGTCTTAACACTTACAGCAGCTCAGGATATCGTTAAGGAAACCTTCAGCGGATTTGATCAAATTTTATATAAATTCATCAGTCTTGAGATAAATTTTGCGAACTTCAGAGAAGCTGTGGGAACTTCAATGCAGTTGGGTGATCTAATTTAAAATCATCGATCTTCAGATAAGTTAAGGAAAGCATCAGTGAAGTCGGAGGAACCTCAGATACTCCCAGGAGAATTTACAGGAAAATCCAAAGAACCGTCGAGATGTTTTGGAAACCTCCGGGAACTCCAAAAGCAGTTTAGAAACCCTCGGAAGAAGTTTAGTCAACTTTGTGGAAAGTCAAGAGCGCAGTAGGGGTGCAAGTTCTCTGTAGATTACGTTTCGGCTAATAAAAGTCGTGTATATCCATTATCCTACATTGACCATAAACGCATAACAGTCCCTTGTAGAAAAACATCTTAACATTCAGGGAGTTAATAATCGATTCCAGTAGATAACTCATTTTAAAGAAAAAAAAAGTAACATGGGCCTGTTATGCATTTATGGGCAGTACAGGCCTAAAAACAGTACTCAAATCAACACAATGTCTGAGAGGAGTTCTGATCACCTCTAAAAACAATTAAGCTTCCGAGAAATTTACGAGAACTTCTAAGAAGTTCATTATAACCTTACAAGGCATTCAAGGAAACTTATGAGCAGGTCATGAGAGCCTTCAGTGAAGTTCAGCGAAATTCAAATAAATGCCGCGAACTTAAGATAATCTCATAAAGACTCACGGAACGTCAGAGGAGCCCAGGAGAGAAATGATCAGAGCATCTTTGCATAACTTTAGGTTTCTTCAGAAGATAAAAAAAAACAAGGAATCACCGAGAAGCTTTGGATCAAGGAATAGTCCTCAGCGAATTTCAGCGAACTTGAAAAAAAAAAATCAAGAGAAATTAGAGAAGTTCTGAGCACTACGGACAAGTTTAAAGATCCTAAGAAGAAAACCTGACAGGTGTCCTGGGAAACCTACGGGAAGATCATGGAAACCTTTAGTGAGGTTACACCTTTAGTGTAGGTAACATCATTCAGATTCAGGGAGCCTCAGAGAAGTTCAAAGAAACTTACGAGAAATTGAGGCAACCTCGGAGAAGCCCAGGAGAACTTGAGAAATGTTCAGAGGCACCTAAGATAAGTTCAGATTACTTCATGAAACATCAGAAAAATCAAGGAATCTCCGAGAAGCTTGGGAAACCTTCGATAAGTTTAGGAAATCTTATGAGAAATTAAGAGTTCAAGAGAAGTTCAGGGAACTTGAACTGAATTCAAGAGGCTTTCGAGAAGCTCTGAGAACTCTAGAAATGTTCAAGGCACCTCAGATGAGTTCAGAAAACCTCATAGATGTTCAGTTCAAGAAAGATTCACAGGTGACCTAGGATATTTACGGGAAGATCAATGGAACCTTTAGTGAGGTTCAGAGTGGTCTAGAAAGCCTCATAAAGATTCAGGGAGCCTCAAAGAAGTTTAAGGGAACTTACGAGAAATTGAGGCAACGATATATTTTCTGTTGCTGATCTGGTCAAAACTACTGAGCTAATTTAACGATTGAAAGTTTCAAGAGAGTGAAATTCTTACGAGTTCATGCTTCAGGCTCTTCGTCCCTGCGGCTTGCCGTTGACAAGTGGTTTCGAAAGTGAGGAGGAACCTCCATCGGATTCGTGACGTTCCATCGCTCTGCGAGTTCACGTCGAGGTGCAAGTTGCAGCGTTGAGCGTGACATTTGGAGCAATCGACCACATCCGATTATCCTGTATTCCAAGCTGGAGGATCACTTCATTCGGGACATTTCAAACAAGTTGTACACCAGACTGCTACGCCAAACGTGACAGGGCTGCTTGCTACGAGTTCACTTAGACTGATTTGGTGAGATTGTTCTTTTTTCTACTTTTATCATTTAAACTTCATTCGCATGAATCCGTATGTAACATCCTTCTTTCTGTTATTATTTAATCTTCTATTTCTTTATATTATAGTTAAATCAGTATTCTTATAAACTATACCAAGTAAGGTCCTAAAATTTCAGTTGAGGAGCTCGGTTTCTGCT